CAAATTGTGAAAAAATAAATATAAATAACTTCAAGAGAAATATATATATATATGAGAGCGAGAAATAACACTAAGCCCTTTTCTCATTCGGTTAATACCACTGTGTTTAATGACTAAAGACTATTCTGCACCGGCTTAGTTCGCAAAACTGTAATTTATGTAAGGAAATGTAATGTTTTGAAATAAACGACGAAAAACATGACGTTATGAAATAACCAAGGCTATAAAGCCTGAGCAAATGAGTCTGTGGTCCGTTGAAAACAACGGTATGTTTCGAATCGCAAAACTAGGTGTGTTATTACATGGGTGAATAAAAAAGAAAAAGCATTAATAAACTAGACGCATGACTGCGTGAGCTCGGGCTTTCTCTTTAACCGTGGCGAACTCCATAGACTCCATAGTATTCGCAGTCAGCAACGAGAGACCTTGAGACAATCCGCCATTACTCGTCGCCCATGTGCTTTTACGGCGCATACTACCACGCATGCGCACTACATAGAATCAACGCATGCGCTGTGAACGCGACGGCGATTTGTGACTGAACGCAAAACGCGAAGCCCAATTTATAACTCGGCCGTTTCCTTCGGAAAAGCCCGAGTAATTATCGAAAGAAAGAAGAATGAAATGGTATTTACTTACCCTCCTCTTTCTCAGGACATTTTTGATCGTTTTGAAGTTTTGCTGACGAAAGATAAAAATACGAATGAGCATGCGAAGATTGTTGCTTCACGGCTTTTTAAAATTCGATTCACTCAAGCTATAGGCAAATAATTCCTGTTTTATCTAAAGTAACGTTAGTTTGTAGAATTTATTGACCCTTATAGATAGATCGGGCGCAATATTTTAAAATAACTTAAATAATTTGAAAAAATGAAAAAAAAAATTCAGACCACGTGTCAATCCCCAGAATATAATTTCTTTGTTTAACGGTTGTGAATGAGAAGACACATGAATATGGATACAGCTCAAAAAGTTTAGCCAAGTTGAATGGGTTAATAACTCTACTTACCTATGTACGGGAGGAATTTCTCAATAGTAGTTTTCGTAGCCTTTGAAATGTCCTCTCTCTTAACATTGGGGTAGCTTGCCGAGTTCTTGAGATATATTGCTTTAGCAACCGCATATATTTCCTCGTAYAAACCCTCKCCATCTACCAAGCTTTTGAACTTGCTATATCGTTTACAGCTTGCAACTGACATGTCRTAACAGACTCCAGTCGAGTAATACATCCTGAGCAACTGACCCAGRCGCACGCCTTTGCTTACCCACCTTGGAAGGTAATATCCCAAAAGAAACCCGTCTATATCCCCCAGGAGTTCCGCATCCGACGCTCCGGTGCTGACGTCTGGGGAACGCGTATATACCTCGGGGCATTTGGTGTCATCCCATGATCCACCAGGACCAAAGTAYGGGAGRKATGCATCATTCTTTTTCKCCAGYRCGGCTTGCGCAACATCCCTGGATATGGTTGCTGCGAACAGATTATCRATCTCATTTTCAGCACCTGGCGACCACTTGGCAAGGGTGATTTCCTTGTCCCGAACCATTCCCGCACAGATCCCGTTAATCACGTGACCAATGGCGATTGTTTTACCAGCGGGCGTGAGAATGACTCCCAYYTCACGTGACCTATCGTATCTATGGGCAACCATGTTTCGGAGCACATCAATTTCTGTTCTTGATAAGATACCGCTTGGYAAGGGAAGTGCAGTTCCTATAATAAAACAATAATAATCAATTTGTTCYWTGACGTCATCACGCCTTATATGTGTATGTACAAGGACCGTGTACGAAACGCGGGGTCTGTAAAARATCTAGTAAGCCAAAGCTAACATAGAAATAAAAGATAAGCAATGTTTAAACTACGCGTTGAATACTTAACACGACAACGCCATTATAGTGGAGCCCAAACTGAAAGTCAAAATGCAACCGCTGACAGCTGTTTCGATGTCAGTTTTTTGTCTTCACCACGGAGCAAAGTAGCATAACAGCTAATCGACTGTATAGTACCAGCGCGTGGTAATGACAAGACAATTCAAAACGACTCAAATTTCGTTTAGCTATTGGGCAACGTTACAACGCGTGACGTTGAACRATTAGCAAAGAAACCAAAATATCTTGCCGCTTTCGTGTATACACCTAATTGAAAAAACGTTGTCGGGTTCGAGAAGGTCATGCATATCATCGAAGCTAAGACCGAAAAGGATTTTGAGTACTCCGAAATGTGTATTATATTTGCATATAAACATGTAAAAATSYACAGTAGAGCAAAGTCGGTCGACCTAGATTAACAAAATGCCAAAGCCATGATGCATAAAATGTGCACAGGAAGGGAAAACTGCAATACGCATGAAATTGGCATAATTGTTTGCCTTCCCATGCACCCCTTCAGTCTTAGCTTTGATGATATAACCTTTTTTTTTAACCTGACAACGTTTTTTCAATTAGGTGTTTATCATATCAATATCATATCACGAATATCATATCCTGAATAACTATTTTTTTACCAATTACAGTGGTCCAGTAATCGTTGTCGTAGCCAACCTGTCGAATGTAGGTCGCTACGTCGTAAAGTTTAGTCACATTCTTCTCGATCTTCTCTACGAGTTCAATGAAGTGATTGAGTGCATAGATGTCATATACTGTTGGTGTTTTCCTCTTGGCTCTACAATAGTAATCACATGAATTAATATTTGCAGTAGAATAGAAATTATCCATTTTCTAATGATGATGAGAGAAATTTCTTTCGCGCAGTAGACTGTTTTTTTTTATCGGGGAGGGGAGAGTGTGGTGTGGTTTTCTTGGATTTTCCATTACGGAAACCTGAAACCCCCCTTTTTAAATTAAAAAAAAAAAGTTCCCATACTGCTTAATATAAAAGTGCTGTGCAACTCGGACTCTTTTGTGCTCCCCCCCCCTCCCCCCACTCTTTAGCCTGATTTTTTCATGCATGATTCCCTCCCTTCTCCAGCAACTGTTTATTTGTACCATCCATTACAATTACAATTACAAATCATATATGATAAATAAGAGAAAATAAAAGGTTAAGGTACTAGCTGTCTGTAATTAATAACAATACGGGCTAAGTTAAACCAGACAGCCCCCCTCCCCAGTCCCGCTGGCCAGACCCTTCAGTGAACGGTCCCAAGGAGGAGAGAAAACAATTCGTTTGCTAGTTGTTTTTATTAACCGTAGTTTTTCAATGTTTTTTTTTCAGTACTCAATACAAATTCTTCTTTACCCCTCTATATCGATTTTTTTCTTCTTCTCCCGGTAGACACATGCGCAGTTTTCCACTATTGAATTCGTCTAGCTTTATATCAGTCCTTTCATCAGAACTAGAATGCTTTGAAAACAAAGCACTGATATGAAGAGACCTAGAGGGAAAACCTCATACTTTGAAGTAATTCAAAACTAAAAAGAAAGACACCGGAAACTCACCGTTTCAATATATTTGTATCTTTTGCTTGTAAAAGAACACAGGACCCTAAAAAAACATACACAAAAACTTAAGCATTGTCAGGTTGGATGAGGTGACTGCGGTTTTGAACTGACACTCAAACAGCAAACTGTTTCGGTTAATCAAATTCTCGAATACTCCCGAATACTACTTGGAGTTTTGACAAGATTTTATATGGTGGGGTTTGAGGAGTTCGATAGSTTTAGAAGACTCTCACTTTTTAAGAATTTCGTTGATAAATGTGTTGCCTGTTAAATAACACTTTTGCTACCTGTTGAAGGAGTGGATATGCAATTTTACGAATAAACACAATAGCGATGCGCGGACGTGACGTCACTAAAATGTAACGTAATACGAGGGTCGGACATTCGAACCGGATGTGCTATACATTTACTATAATATTGTATGGCAAAACAAGATAGTTTATTGAAGAAAAAAGTAGTTATTTTGACCGAAAACGACGACGTTCCTGGCTC